ACAAATGAGGCGTCTTAGAATTATTTACAGTAATTAGTGTTGACATTGCATCTAAAAATCACTAAGGGTTAAAGTAATTTTCGCTTGAAGGACCATTGCTCTATGTGCAGAAAATGTATCTTTGTTGAGGTCTTAATATATGAATATATGTAACTCACGTACTCTTCGACAGCTTAATGTTCGTTTCGGATATTCGAACAAAGCAACACAAGAGCTTTCTATAGTATTCATCCTGATTTTGAACTTACAGACTACAGGAAAAAAAGCTAGTCAACAGCACCCACTGCCACTCTTTGATTAAACTAATCAAATAGTGGGATTTCTCTGTCACTCTTATAGTGTACCAAGAGCTCTAAAGTTCAAAGCGTGAACCATGGAGGCTGGGAGTCACAGTACGGCATGTTGACCATTTTTCCAATCATGGCTCTTGACCTTCGAACTGCGTGGCTATTTGTTTCCTTTAGACTGTATTTTATCTTATTATATGATCCATCTATTACGTATGCAATTAAAAATGTCTGGCTACTTCATTTGAAAGGTACACAAGAATGGGTAACCGGGCTTTAATAGTAATGTCAAAGTCAATACACAAGCCGTTTTAATATTACACCATTTTTTCCTTTAAAGAAATTTATTAAAAACGTTCTAACTTAAGCTAGAAAAACCATTACCATATGAAACGTTCAATATATAATGGCTGATTTATTTCGACTTGGTATCAAGGTAATTTTTAAATGTCTATTGTCCTCAATAATACATAAAAGTTGAATTACTCTCTATATATTTGATTTTACGTATCACTGGAATACGTCAGTTTCTTTAGAACGTACAAGAAAACACACTCATCCCCATTCTATAGTTTTTTCATGAAAATATGTTAGAACATACGGAAACTTCATAGAGTTCTTATAACTAGGTTTGTTTGTTTTGAATTTTACGCAAAGCTACACGAGGGCTATCTGTGCTAGCCGTCACTAATTTAGCAGTGTAAGACTAGAGGGAAGGCAGCTAGTCATCACCACCTACCGCCAACTCTTGTGCTACTCTTTTACCAACGAATAGTGGGATTGACCGTCACATTATAACGCTGAAAGGGCAAGCATGTTTGGTGTGACGGGGATTCGAACCCGCGACTCGCAGATTGCGAGTCGAGCGCCCTAAACACCTGGCCAATATAACTAGGTAGTTGAGCGATTATAAAATCTCCGTCTGTCACTCATCAGAAGTTATCTGCTTTACACTTTGATACTACACTGGACAGCAAAAACCAGAATAACAAACCTCTCTAGGAACCATTAAGCATTTATTTACTTATTTTGGAACTTTAAATATATTAAACATTTCATTCACTCTTACGCTCTGGAAATATCACATGGGTGATGATACCTCAACTGACGCCTGCAATTGTCTGGTTAAATAATATAAGTCAATGTGGGCCTAATAATATATGTTAATATGAACTCATCAGTTAAATTCCGGGCATTAAATTCATATTTAGGATTATCTTGATCGTCAATGTGCCATCGAACAGAATAATATGTCATGAACATCGTAACACAGTAGCTTTTCAAAAAAGCTTTAATCCTATGTTCCCCTTGACACTTTATAATATTTAGATGGCTCTTGCCTCCCTCTTCCAGTTTACTTTTTATAATAATGTGGCAGCGACAACATTTTCTTTTTCTATAGAAAAGTTACAAAAATATTTTCTTAAAGAAGTAATGACACTCTTAAAAAAAATACAAGAACATAAAAGCTATCCCATTATGCACGAACACTGAGGGTACAAACCGACTCACCTTTATCAAATGTAATCTTAAAACTTACTGACTGTATGAAAGAAAGAGAATTACATCATACGTATGAAAGGCACATTTTAGTTTCGTGGACAGGCAGTTTCATTTCCTGTAGGCAGAAACTACGAAACCCTTTTGGTGTTTTATGTGTCGTTTTTAGAGTCACAGAGAATAAAATATTTAAAATCATTTCATCAAAATGTTCAAATTAACCATCAAGAATATGAAACTGCTGTAATTAACACGAAAGTGTATTTATAAGAACAGTAACAGCGACAATTAAGCAATTAAAGAATGATTCCTCATGCTGTTTGGGCGATTGGGAGTGACACCACAAGCACATCGAGAAGTGGGTGGGACCAGCTCCTTAGGCGATGATTGGTTGTTGAGGACACGTCATACAATAACAGATTGATCAGATGGGTGACGTAGTGTTTAATGTATGTTGGTTTCTCATCACAAAATAAAGTCAGTTATTAGATTACATAATATTTTTTTTATTAAATGGATAACTGTATTAATTCTCAGCAAGTTACATATGATTGATAGTAGTATGGTGTGATGTACTTGTATTAGAATATTAAATAATCAGTGCATGGCCTTGAACTGTGTAATTATTTGAGTGTTTCAATTAATTTTGATTGAAATAAGAATGTTGTGGCTGGCCAATGCACTACAAAATGCCCGAGTGGCAACGTGACTACGTACAGAAATACTATCAGCTAAGACTGAACGAGATTAGAAGAAAATTCTGTTTAGTGATTCATTGCCAAACTATGTTTGAATTATTTATTGGGTCAGCGGGGTATGAGTGAAAACTAAAGTTGTGGCGATACAGCGATACGATACCGAGTATCGATACATCGTTCGATACGATACGATACGATTTATGTATCTTCACGAATTTTGTCGAACTTTCAGTAAACATTATAAAACTTTTGTACAAAAAAATTAGAATTTCTAATAAAGTATTTTTTCGAAAAATTTATGATTCAATAAATGAAGATGAGTATATGTTGTCTTCATTTCTTCTATCAAAATATTACATGCAAAATAACATAACAAATTAACAGTAACAAAATAGACAGATGTTAATTAATTTTTGTATTTTACTTCTCTTGCCAGCTGCCATTTAGTTCATCAAACCCGAGAATATTAAAAAACACTGTAAAGTGTGAAGTACTTAAATAAGACAATGTTAGTAATTTAGATAATAAAGACTGTCAAACTTTGTAACAAACCGTTGGTAAAACTTCTGTATATAGATATGTATCATATCGAATACTATGATGAGGTACGCATCCCTACTGAAAACAAAACCAATTTGATGTGTGCTTCTACCATTCTTTGCCAACAATGACATTGATGTCAAGGACGTCACATTGATCGATGATGAAGATATAAGAACCACTGGATCTACAAATATGAATATTTTCTACAACATGATGCAACAAATATATTGTTTTACTACTGTTCTTGTACGTTTGAAATGTATGCGCTAGAAGTTGTATTTGATGGTGCTGTATTATGATATTGATAGTATCGTGCACACACACACACATATATATATATATATACATACACAACAACCAATATCTACTAGTCGGCGATTTTCTTGGTGAATTCATAGATGAGCTAGATGTATACAGTACTGTGCAAAAGTCTTAGGAAAAGGAAATATTTTGTCATTCTTTCCATTATATGGGGCTAATTCTTCTATGCCATAACAGAATGTACATTTCAACACTATGGTAATGCTTCACTGATCCTTGTTGACAACTGAATGAACCAGGGTGTGAAAACTTATCATTCTTTAGAATTCCCATATACCTGTACCAAGGGCATGTCATAAGGGTTCTGCTTGAATAAAAATACTGATCAAATTTGGGGTCTGAAATAATTGTCATGGTACCCCATGCAGTGTCTTAACTATATAGAAAGAAGCTAGCAAGGACATAGTATATGGTACTGGTATATTCTAGAATAAATCAATCTAATAGCACTCCACAAATAAACCTTGATAAAAACAGTGTTTAACACAATATATTAAGTTTTGTTGTCATGCCACGGCCCAAAAAACGTAGAGAATTGTCAGTAGAGCAGAGAGTTTGCATAAAAGCTTTACGTAATGTTGGTTGGACTCTCGTACAAATTGCTCCAGACTTGAAATGCTCCCCAAACACTCTCCAGACACCCTAGATCGTGAGGTCGAGACAGATAAATTTGAAAATAGGAAAGGAAGAAGCAGAACACCTAAATTCAATGATACTGATGTTAGTATCTTCGTTTATGCAGCATTCGGGGCAGAAGGAAGACTGCCATAAATCTCAAGCATGAGATAAACGACCATGTACCAAATAACAGAAATGTGTCCAGATCTACAATATCAAGAAGACTCAACGAGAATGAAATATTTGGTCGTATAACAGTTAAAAAACCTTTACTTTGATCTCCAAATATTGTCAAGAGACTGAAATTTGGTAAAAAGTACAAAAACTGGACTGTTGGTGACTGGAAAAGGGTGTTATGGACGGATGAGTCCAAGTTTGAAATATATGGTTCAAAGCGTGGGTTGTACGTCCGGCGGAAGAATAGTGTAAGATACTTATCTCAATGCATATCACCTACGATGAAGCATGGGGGAGGCAGTGTGATGGTTTGGGGGTGTTTTTCTGCTGAGGCGACAGGAGAGATTTGAAAAATAGATGGAATAATAGACCAGCGCAAATACCATCAGATACTGATCCGTCATGGTATACCCAGTGGTTTGCGTATTATTGGTAAATGATTCTACTACCAAGAAGATAATGACCCCAAATATTCATCTAACCTATGCAAAAATTACTTAGCTAAGACAAAAGCTGCTGGGGTCATTCAAGTGATGCAATGTCCCCCACAGAGCCCCGATCTCAACCCAATTGAGCAGATCTGGGATTTGATAGATCAAAAACTTTACAAATCAAAAGTTACTTCCAAAGAACTTTATGGGAGTGTATTAGAGACATTTGGAGTAAAATCCCAAAGGACATTTTGATTAAATATGTTGCAACAATGCCTGAAAGACTGTCTGCAGTTATTAAAGCAAAAGGGGACACACAAAATATTAACTGTTTGCTGAACTCAAGCACTTTCACAGAGTTCCTGTTGTACTAAATATGAATATTAATAAAATTTTGATGTTTCACCTGTAATTTACTTTCCATTGTTCTTTGAAAGTAGCCTGAAATCTATTTTTTTACTTTGTTTTAACACTTTTGCACATTACTGTATTTCATAACATCCGAGATAGTGGTGATCCCAAGAATTATGCCTATATTTGTGAAAATGGGAAGATATTCCATAATGTCTGGTCATTTACCCTTAATTATTCCAAAAGTCATTTTATGAATTTAATATTGATGAAATAACATATTTTAAATGTATTTATAAAAATTAAGAAGCAGAAGATTGGTTGCCGATTATTATCACAAGACCCAGAAACATCTGCAGACAAATTAAGAAAAAAATATACAACCACAAGATAAAAAAGATAACACTAGCCAGTGTGCACAAAACTTCATATGTTAAACGACTTCAACACCTTATCCTATGGATTCTCCTTATAGGGTAAGATGTTGCTGGAACTAGCCTCTCATTAGGGCCTACAGGCTGAAAATGGAATATAGGCAGGATCTTGATGTCTGTTTCCAAGTTGCTCAACTATGATATTATGCTGCTTATGTGCCATAAAAACACTATAAAACTAAGTTAATTATCATATTTTGCCATTTTCCTTTGTGTTTTTCACGTGGATTCTCGTCTACAGCATCTGTTTACCTGTTTAGTGTCAGGCCCTGTGGTTACTAGTGAAACAAATTAGTGAGTGAACTGTAGACATATGGACACAATATGACCTATCCAATTCCTGATAACAATTGTATGGTTTTTTATGGCAATTATCAACCTCTGTACTCTGGATTAATGCAAAATCTTCTAAGTATTCAATTTAGCAAAAGATTGCCTGATAATATTCATGATTATGTACAGCTGAATAAATCAATTTTATTTAAAACAAAAGATATGATGAACAAACCAAGTGCAACTTTTTATACAGGGAATTCACCATCTGTACTTATCAGTAATATATATTGTACAAATATTTTTCCAGCAAGTAAAATAAATAAGAAATCTCAGTTTGAAGGCACATTATATCATCATCTTGAAGAATATAAGAGGATAAGTTGCAGAAGAGTATATCAGTAAAACAAACGTTCCCAAGCTGTGTCAAGTACGTTGAAGAATCTTACCATAAAATAATAAAACAATCTTTCGGATACTTACGAATCGATTTAAAACTCAAATATCAGAAGAAATGCACGTGAGAAAGGAAATATTTCTGGTGATAAATGTTGTGTAGGCACTCAAGTTAACTTCAAACAAAGATCACTATTAATTTACCAACACGATACAGGCCATTACTGAGCTTGAAAGATTTCATCAAAATAATGGTTCATGCGTGATTAAAGAACTCACAGTCAATGCTTGTTTGATGGCAACATACAAATGTTTTTATTCAAGCCATCCTTACCGAATGATCGGCTCTCTGAGTACCATTGCTGACAAAGTGATTGAGTAAATCATAACATTCATCATTTCTCTTGGGACAATAGGATTATCACTATCCATGTTAGTTGATCGTGGACAGAAAGTTGCGAGAGTGTTTCATGGCAATGTGCACAAAGAGTACAGTGAAAGCCATCATCCTGTAGAATGCGCTAAACGTGCCATATTACAACTTGGAATTGTACGAGTATCCTCGACTCAATCAACTAATAACATTTTCATCAATGTGCCAATACCACACGTTTGATTAAACCCACTCCTGTATAAAAAACAACAACAACAAAAAAAAACTGATTGCATTTGTTAGTAGTCTGCTATGCATTGAAAACACTTAATTTGTAGAAGTCAATTTATGGCAATGTCGCAGTTAATTATACAACATCGTGTTCTATTCAAAGTGACAAGTACCCAAGTACATGAGATTATTTCAGTGACAAAAATGAAATTTATTTTGTGTATTTGTGAGTATATGTTTGAAACATTCTGAAAGGAAACACCTCAAGGCGAGCAGCCAGCTCGTGACGTTACTTCCAATTATCCAATCAGCGTGAAACAGCATCTTTTCATTACCTTAATTACTATTCAAAATTTTAACAAGGAGACAAAAGATCTTATTATAAAAGAAAAAAACTGACATGTTAACCATTATTGAGGACATTAACAAACAAACAAAAAACACTTTTATGTAAGAAAAATCAGTTGTTCAAAAAAAGCGGTTTTTCTACCACTGCTCATTGCGCCAGTGCTTTATTTACTTGATAAACATACCATAGCGAAATAAGTATATCAGTAAAGGATCACTCTAAGCAAATGGTACTCGTGTCCAAAGCACTTATGGAAAAACGTATATCATAGACTGTTTGGGCTGTAAGCTGTAAACCAAACAACTGTTTTCAGGAATATGTCAACAGTTCAATCCCTAATTTGTTTTACCACTAACCTCTAGTCCTGACACTCAACAGATAAGGTGTTTCTACTAACAATCCATGCAGAACAACATATAAGAACTGAACTCAGCAGGTTAGCGTGGGCTTACTCTCAACATTCAAGGAAACAACATACTTCTATGTGACGAAAATATAGGTATGTACAAGCTAATCCACTCTAACTTGCAAATCACGTAGAACAACGTTTAAAAATGGATATCACCGAAACAGCAATTATTTTTACCATCATACAACTCCACCATCTATATTACAACGTGTGAATACGTACCAATTGTGATGAAGGTTAAGTCATTCATGGAGATGAAACAGAAGAAAAATTATCGTATCATTAGTTTTAAAATTATTCTACAGTACTTTTGATGAATGCAAGTCTTGCAAACAGAGATTGCTGTGAATTCACGCACATCCCACTTTGAAAGTATGTATTTTATTCATGCACGTATTTTGAGTAAAACAACCTAACCTAAACGTTACTGTTCCAAATAAGTGTTGTTGTTGAAACATGGTGTAGTGTATATACACTACACATTCAACTGTGAGTGGAAAATTTTTATTTCAGAAATAGTGATTTACAGAGATAACCAAAAATTACTTAAGCAATGAAATCAAGAGAATGATAACTAAGGTATTCTATCACGATCCTTTCGAGGACCACATAGCCATGAGTGAGAGAGGATCACATCACTGAATAAGGCTCAACAAATCAAGTCTTAACATGTAACAGGTGCATACTAAGGCAATGAATATTATCTAACTCTGACCCTGCCAATCAGCTCTGCATGTAACGTTACCCTACGAATCAATCACTGCATGACTAGCTGGCGACACAAACAGTCAGGACCTCTATGAGGCGGCCAATCAGGGTGTGTATTATTTACTGCCAATCCCCCAATCAGAGTGAAGTGGTATCCTTTGGTTGCCCAAATGCCACCAGTACTACTCACAACGCTAAGAAGGAGACAAGATATCTTAGTTTAAGTCTTCAACAAGCTGATAATACAAACTCAGAGTTTTGACGACTTAAGATATTGGTAAATAATGTTGTTCTGAGTAAAAAGGTCGTTTTGTCTTTTGAAATGCTTTTTCACTTAAATTTGTATAATAGCAATTAAAACACAGGAAATAATAATCCATTAGCTTAGAAAATAATAACGGTTGTAGTTTTCCAATAATTTTATTTCTTGATACGAAGGCTGGCAGAAGATTACGATTAAATCTGCAAGACCCAATGTTCTCAGGAAAAAATAATTTTTTGATAATAGAAAAGTACTGAAAGTTTCTTATCATCTTCCGATCATCACATAATTCACAAGATATGATGATATTAAATCAATGATATATGAGAAGGATGCTAATCCATACCTTAATCCTTCAAGTGTCGTGCCTTCAAAAATGGCATGTTGGGTGAGAACGTTATCATTTTCACCAGTCTTTTTTGCCCACATTAATCATGTTTCCTATATACACATAAAGAGTTTATTGGGGCAATTTTTAAATGAAGTTCCCATATCAACTTCAGTAAAGTAACCTTAGGTCACTGTTATGACAAAATAAATAAGAATAATTTGATACTTTTGTTTGTAACAACGTATAAAGGTTTACATGATACAAAAATATATTTCTTCCTCAGTTGATTAAAGAGGTCGGTTACTTTACAGGCTTTTAGTGAAACAATGCTTGTATCATATCACCAGACAACAGTGTCGTCAACAACAAATCTACTTCACTGCCGTGAGTTCCAAAGTCATTACATCATAGACACGATTCTTTCCTTACAAAGCTTTGCGACAACAAAGTAATAAAATGCCCTGTTTACTATCCTGGTCAACCGATCTCTATGATATCTTTTGGAACCTCCACAAATTGGTAGACTAGCCTCTGTCCATCCACTTTGGCAAGAATTCCTCGTTGATAGTAATACCTTAAAGGTAAAGAAACGGTAAGGGTATTTACCGGATTTTTTGGAATATTAAAAAAACAACGAATATTATAATTGTTTGTAAACTGAGTAATCCCAACTGTAATTATTTCTGAATTCTACATTACATTTATAAAAATCAAAAAATGGATGTTACACACGTTATAGAATGCTTTCCCTTTTCAAAACGGTACAGCCTAAAAAAATAGGTAAATTACTGAAATTATAAAAGATAAATGAAAACAAATAATAGCGGGAGCAATAATGATTTTATATTTTCCTCTAGTGCTGAAAAGTTAAAACTTTTATATAGTATATTGTTAATGCTATATTTTATATCTCTTTAAGGCAGTAATAATCAATTCAGTCATTTCTTAAAAATTAACGATTATTGTAAGTTCATTTCAATCTAATTTGATATATATGTATATATATATGAAAGTTTAAAATATACTGAAGCTAAGACTTATGATTGCTATAAACCAAAAAGTTTGTTTAATTGTTTGAGAGAATTTCGAGCAAAGCTATATAAATGTCTATCTGTGCATAGGCATTCCTAATTTTGAACTGATACAAAAAAGAAAACATTCGCCATGAATGCATTATCCAATACATACCTTAAAGCACGACCCATTGTTTCATAGTTCATGTCAGGTTTGTTTTTATGAAGTCCCCATAGCTTTGATACTGCCTTGGAATCGACAAGCTTGAAAATTCCCTTATCTCTATTTGCCCATTTAATGTAGCGTGGACAGCAGTCTTTATCTTGAAGTAATTTCAAAAGAAATTCCCATAGGTACGTAGTGGAGCCTGAGAATTGTTCGAAAATTTAAATATTTTGAAGCACCCAAGAAAAAATCAACCATTTGTCAAGGAAGAGCAAGGAAACCTCAGTTATTTTATATCTCTTATACATTAATATCCGAAATTGTATGTTTAATATATATATGTGTTATACGTATATTTTAAATACTGAACCAATAATATTGTTTCTGAAAACTGACCTAGGAATTACTGGAAGAAGGTAAGGCGTGATAAACTTATGACTCCAATCAAAACTTCCAATATCCAAATATTTAGGATTACCAAACTAAAGATTATCCTCCACTTAAATTGCCCTAAAATCTAACAATAGAGCATATTTAGTGTATTTTACCTTCACGGCTTTTCCGTTTCGTACAAGATGCTGAGTTGCCTTTTGCATTCTTTGCTTTTCGTGCTGTTAAGATACGACACATTTTACATTAACATTTTAACTTCACAATGTTAATTCTTTCAATAACAATAAAATAATTTACTATGATATATAACAAAATTCTGGTCTTTCTAGTTATGGATAATACTAGCGGTTTGTTTTCACTTTTAGATAATTCACTGGATAAAAGTAGTAGTATAATTACTGACGCCAAATTACTGGAATAGAAAACAAATATTTTCTAGTATGACGTAGGTTGTCTAGATAATTAAGAAATATATTAACTGTTATTAGCTCGATATACATATAATGCAAATCAGTTAATATTATAGTATTAGATTATCAGTACGAAAAACATAATTTAATGCAAGCAACACGTTAAATATTAAAATTTACGCATACTGCAAACTTAAATTTATAACTCATTGAAACGTTATAATATTTTAGCTTTCTACTAGTATTCAAAACAGAGCATATTCATCCATTATTAAATCACGTTTAAAGATAATGATTATAAAATATAATTAAAATAACAACATGAGAAACCCTCTCCCAAGTTCTAATGTTGGTGTTATGCAATATCAGTAAAATTAAATAGTGGTCAACTATTTAATATTTATTTAAAGTCTCTAAAGCTGTACAGATTTGAGATGGGTCATGAGTCTCGCCTTTAGGTTGATTTGACCTTGCATCTAACTAGGTGTACCTTTTTTCTTAGGTTTTGATTGAAAAGACAGGTCTGTTACGTAAAATGACGATTCCAAGTCGCCAAGGGAAACAGTGTTGTGGGCTGTAGTGATAACTGAAGTTGGAATGGCTGATGTTTTTCCTGTCGCACTTTCTTGTGAGAAATAAAGCCCAGAAGAGGAAAGAGGACCAGAGGAGACAGAATTGGTGAGAGTTACGGGTCTGTTCCCCGATGTGCAGTGAGTGTGTTGATGGCTTGGGCTGGTAACCTGGAGATGTGGAGGAGAAGTTTCTAGATGCTGTTTCGAGTATTGTGGGGTATAGGGAAGTTCACGAGTGCAAGAATCCGAAGAAGTAGAGTGTACGGTCGTACGGAAACCAGGACTGTGTGTACTATGGAGGTTCTGGTGGTGAGTTGATTCAGAGTAGGAGTGAGTGGGAGACAGTTTGTATCGGGGCTGTGAGTAGTGTCGAGAAACGATTCCTGGAACTGTGGAAGAAAACAGAACAAATAAAACAGTGAATAAAATATGTCACTAAACATCGCGCAATATTCAGGTTGACAACAAAACACCTCACACAAACACACGATGGCTGTTCTAACCCAGGCTTTCAAAGAGCAAAAAAGAAGCTCCAATACTTCTGAATTTTACTTATTTAATGCGAAATAACATTTGTGTAATATGTAAATGAAATAACTAGATGTTTCTTGAAATTATGAAATCTAGGTATTCAACACTAACAAAAATATTCAGTCATAAATAGATAACTAAGTAGGAATAAAATAACTAAAAACACAGGGAAATTACTTTATTATATTGAAAGATGTGTTGCTTACGGCGTTTATTGTAAAGGCTTACATAGTAATATACACAAATTAAGTAGGTGGAGACGTATAAACTTCACATTCGTCAATATTTCATAAGTATTGGTAAGATATTAAAATATTTGTTTCAGTTTGCTTACGTTTAGAATTATAATTTATTCATTCATTTACAGTTGTTGTTGTTGTTTGAAGTTAAGCACAAAGCTACAAAATGGGCTATCTGTGCTCTGAGCCACGGATATCGAAATCCGGTTTCTAGCATTGCATTTCTGCAGACATACCGCTGTGCCACTGGGGGGAGGGTCTCATTTAAAGAATCAAGAGGTTAAACCAATTACATATTCTTACTATATTTGCCATACATAAAACGACATAATAAAATGTATATTCTGTAATCGACATTATATACATAAAAATCGGGAAGAATCAAGAGAAGCATTTAAATGAATATGAAACATTTCTAAAGAATCACATACATCATTATACTCTGAATAATGGACTACAATAATGGTATTCCTTCGAACACAGAGAAGATGAAACAATATCACGTGTCTTATTGTAATGGCTGGAACACGAATTATAATCATATTTAAAATCTGCAGGCAATAAATTAAACATCAACAAGTATAATATTCTACAGACCAGAAATGAAACGCATGAAAGTCTAAATATTTATCAAAATGATAATAACGGTTTAAAGTTCAGTTGAATATTAAAACAATTATTTTAGTGCCGTGTGTGAGAAGCTAATAAACAGAGAATGTTATCATAAAAAGAATAACGTTTTAATACGTTATTATGTAATTTTTTGTGAAATTAAAATTTCTGTAACTAAGAGTATCAGTTGCTAATACAAATCGCATCTCAGCGATCTCGTATCTTAGCAACCTATCACATTTTTCTCCAACCTCGTGACATTGCAAGACTTTGAAAACCTTACCAAATAACACATTACAGAAATAGGATCTGACATATAGAAATTCATTTGCATAGCAAGGAGGAGTTTTATGTTGTTTTAAAGCTAACTGGTTGGTTGCTGAATAGGGCAAGGGGGTTGCAGAAACTACCTCTTTGAACGTTGATGTCTTTTGATGTTTCCTTGCTCTTTTCAACTTGTAGAATAATAATTCTTACAATTTATGTACATAATATCTAGAAACCTTTAGAAATACTTCCTAAAAAAATCAGAATGAAATATACATTTAGATAAAGAAAATGACCAAACAAAGTACTAAAAACAGTTGAACTCTTTATTTGTCTTTAAAATATTTTATTTCTTGATTGAACAGGTGTTGTTTTTGTTCTAAATACTTCACAGATTTTATCTACCTACGTTTTGAATACAAGTTTTAAAAAGGTTATATCTGTAGCAGAAAGATGACATTTGTCTCAAGTACTTATTTGCTTTCTTAAAAGGTAACAAATATTCCTGACTTTTCCATTGGTTGTTAATCAAATTAAGGAAAACATTTAAAAATTATTAGCCGTAAATATCACAATATAATGTAAAATGGTATACCACTACAAAATGATAATAAAATACGTTTACTCAATACAATAAAAATTGAATCAGTAAACTAAGAGAATATTAAAAACATTTATGCACTGAGATTATAGATTCCATAAGAAACATGATATTTTAAACTGTTGTCCACTAGATGGCGAAGCTTAAAAAGAGCACTGCCAACGCCAATTTTTCTGCCTTTGTTACAAAGTTAACATAAACCACACATTGAATAATACCCTTTTTCTTAGTATAGTAAAGCAACCATACTAAATAATTCATTAAATTTCGGATTTATTGTCTTTAACTGAAACAAAAAGAAAAAAATGGAACGCTCGCATAGGCGCCTAACAAGGGTGCAGAAGAAGCACGTGCCACCCCACTTTGAATATTGTTTTAGCAAAACGTTTTCTTACCTCGATCGTTCGCTAACTTTTTTTTTACACTTGTCACCCTCACTTCCACCCGAACCTTTGACTAAGTGATTGCTTGTACATTTAGCGAGAAAGACTATCTTCAAAGGAGGCTTACATTACGTCAGCTTGTATGACTAAAAGCGGAAATGAAGGATGACGTACAGTTTGTATTGATATTCATGCCGCTCTGGGAAAATACGATGACGTGGTAAAATAGGACTTTATACTTGAGGCTACAAACATTAATAACCTTTTAGTAATTACACCTCAAACGATTTTATATTAATCATTAAGTTAAATTACTTAGCATAAACATATGTCTATCTCATTTGGTTTAATAATAATTACGATGCAGAAGATTATCGCTTTAACTAATACCGAAGTCACCTTAAACCAGCGACGTACTTGGAGTTTTTACCTCTGTGTGTGTGTTTGTTTGTGTCAGCAAGATTTTTCGAAAACGAATGGATGGATGTGGACGGAAGTTATATACATTTGGACAATGACCCAACATAGAAGTGATTAGTTTTTGGAGGGTCAAGGTCACAACAAATCCTATCTGTTAACATCGAGACTGATTTTTCACATAATTTTTGCTCTATAACTCAGTCAAAAAGGACAGGATTTTGATAAGACTTTGTGGACATACGTAGAATACTATTCATCGTTATCTTGTCAAACATGGTTCGTGTTCGTTGATACCGACAAGCATAGGGACACATTTTCGTATTTTTTTTTGAGAGCCGAATATGATCAACGCCACGTGGCAGAGGTGTGCGCTTTACTAAGTGCCCCTCTAGTTTGTTAATGTTTTTTGTTATGATTATGGTAAGAAAAGTTTCCAGAACAGGTTATGTTTAAACACAACATTTTAGTTGCTGAACATCGTGGTATCACCTGAAAAAATTCTGAGAAAATACCTCAATTTTTTCATTGACTTGTTACGGGCGGAGGGGGGTGAAAAATTTTTTTTTCTGAAAAGCATCATAGGGTGGCTCAACGTTAACATCTCTAAACCGCATTAACTAAAAATAAACATCGCCGATGAAAGGTCAATAAGGAGCAATAACTTTTTTTGTTTTTTTCGTTTTTCTTTTCAGTGGTCCATGAGCGATCGGCCCGGCATGGCCAGGTGGTTAGGGCGCTCGACTCGCAATCTGCGGGTCGCGGGTTCGAATTCCAGTCACACCAAACATGCTCGCCCTTTCAGTCGTGGGGGCGTTATTAGGTAACGCTCAATCCCACTATTCGTTGGTAAAAGAGTAGCCCAAAAGTTGGTGGTGGGTGGTGATGACTAGCTGCCTTCCCTCTAGTCTTACACTGCTAAATTAGGGACAGCTGGCGAAGATAGCCCTCGTGTAGCTTTGCGCGAAATTCAAAACAAACAAACAAACTAAGAGCGATTTTGGGAAGACCAGGTCTCCGTTTATCCTACGCGGTTACGCGCTTGAAAAGTACTCAGATTGGTATTTTAGTGTAGTTAATAAGTAAGAACTAAGAGCGTCTACAACACGATATGAAACGCGTGGTTAACCCTAAAAACATTTCACAGTTTTAAAAACACCCCAACTAACGTTATTTCGTATTATAAAGCCACTTCACATGAATAGAATACTTTTATTCTGAATAATATTTCAAGTTTCTTGATTTTTATTGTTAACATAACGTAAGAACTAAATCAACATTAACTGATTATTCTGTATTATGATTACTAAAATTACAGTCATGCCAAATAAACAGCGTTTGATCAAAACATCAGCTTATGAATTACAGATGATATTATTCAGTTTAATAGGATTAATGTATATAAGTTCATTAGATCATAATCAAGAACATAAGAAACTCACTCAGGCATGAGGAAAGCAGTTTTAGCTCACTTTCGCCCACATTTTCTTTATGCGAAATGCATTCTAATGTTCTTACTCAATATCAGTTTAATTTATCATTTCTTAAATGTTTAATTTCACAAGTATTAGGTAGTATTTACTGTGACCCTGTTGAAGCAAGAGATCCGAGGTTAAGGCCAAATTCTAGGTTTAAAGTCAACAATCTGATAAGAACAAAGGCTTCAAGTTATGGAAGTGCTGGCGCTTGGACCGTTGCCAACTTGCAGATGGGCCATATATTTCAAGAGAAAAGTCTTAGGAACATTTTCTGTGCAATGTTTTATAATTCAAGTTTATCGATTGAAAGTTGATGAATAATGTTGTTTCTAAAATTAGAAATAGCGTTTTTGTTTTTGGTTATAACTACTTAATGTAAAAATTATGTCGGAACTGTATTATGTTTAAAAATGTAGATTTTCTCTTTCAGCAGTAACGAATAACACACAAAAAGTAAAAACAACAACAACAAGAGAGAATCCTCAGTAGCCGCGGTACTTGATATGCTCTTAGGTAGGATTAAAGTAAATTAATCTATGAGACCTTTATTTCCTTTTTATTGGCTAAATTTTTGTGCGCCAGCAATACCAACCGCGGGACGCGAGTATACCCAATTCGAATTTATTACTCATTAGGATCTCTATTAGCCTACACTCAAATTGAAATTCTTTTAGGCAGGATTAGAGTAAATTAATCTATGAGTCTTTGAGCGTGGTCAAATACATCAATCGAAAGGGTTTGACCTGAGTCCAAAACTATAATTATATCTCAAATCGGTTAAGAAATGACGGAGCTATGGGCTAAACGTTTGTACTTGAAATACAAAACAATCTCGGAGCCATTCTACGAACCGCTATGCCA